TTCCTATAGTAATTTATATATCTCTCATACTCTTGAATTATATAATCAAAGTGTTATTTTTCTTGATTGTTACAAAGGTTTATTTTAACAAAAAGTTTAAAATGAAAATACACATGATCCAGTTTTTAACACAGAAAAACAGGCCCTTTAGGGAAGGGACATAGATTGCTCTGAACAGCCATTATTTATACTCCATCCAAAACTTCTTGTAAGTTGATACTATTCCTTGAATTACCACCATTCCAATATTGTTATCTTACCTACAAGTTGCCATATTCACACATTTATCTATCACAAAACTTGAGGAATCAAATATCCACAGTATTCCTTGGACATGTCTGCCACTGTTTTATTTAAATGATAAATTCTTTTCTATTAATTTTTCAGCTTGAAAGGCTAAACTTTACTTATTGCCCACAGTGTAATTATTATGAGTCTTACTGTCTGAGTTTGATTCCTGGCATCATCATTTAATAGTTGTGTAATTTGGGACAAATGACTTACTCTTTCTTATACTTAGTTTCTTTGTCTCTTACATGAGGACGATAGTACTAGCTGCCTCTTTATTATGAAGATTAATATTTGTAAAGCTCTTAGAACATGCAATTTTCTCCTACTAAATCATAAGATCCTTAGGAATAGGAACCTATTTCTATTAGCATACCCAACATAGTCCATACTTATAGTTCAGAATTTGATTTTGGAAGGAATTTTTTGAATGGTGAATACTCTGTGCTGGGCATGGTAACTTGTGTCTGTAATCTCAGCAATTTGGGAGACTGAGGCAGGAGGGTCAGAAGTTTGAAGCCAGCCTGGGTAATGTAATGAGTTCCCCATCTCAAAAAATTCTCTATTTGTAAGTTAGCTATGAAGTTTGAGAAACCAGTTGAATATTACTGTATGTTTTCTTTTTTCTTTCCTTTTCCATACCAGGAATTGAACCCAGGGGCACTTAACCACTGAGTCATATCCCCAGCCCTTTTTTAATTTTTTTATTTTGAGGCAGGGTCTTAATAAGGACAGCTTTGAACTTGAAATCTTTCTGCCTCAGCCTCTCAAGCCCCTGGGATTATATGCATGCACCACTGTACCTGGCTTTTACACATATTTTCTTACCTACAGTGGTACTCAGACTCCAGTATAGGACTAAATGCTTGCTAGATAGCTTGGTGATGCTGAACCTTAATAATTTCAGTGAGAATGGCTATAATAATGTGGGACAAAAAGAGTAAGAGAACGGGGGATAGAAATGGGAAGAAGTAGTCAACAGGCAATAAAGCACTCTGTTGTGAATATTAGCACAATATTTAGGCTCCAAAAACCCTTAGTGAAAGTTATAAATAGTCCCGGTAGTAGTCAAGGCTAGTCACCATCCAAGCAGTGTCATTTTTTTTTTCTTTGAGTTGCCTCAAAGTCTAAGGCACTTCTGTGAGTAGAAAGCAGTTAACAGGGTAAATGGGATATTTGGGGAAAGATCTGCCAATTTTATTGGCTAAGGAGCAAAGGAAAAAGAAAAACTCGATCACTTTCAGGCAACTCAGTACCCATTGGTTTTAATTTTAATTGTAGTCTGAGGAATTCCTGAACTGCAAAAAAAAAAAAAAAAATCTCCAGAGCAGGAATGGCTTCATCCTGTATGCCTCCTGATATATGTAGTGGGAAGAATCCCTTAATTTGCAGTACTTCTCACAACTAATGAGAAGATTGACAAAGAGAGCCCATTCTCTGCAATGCCTATTTTTGGGAATGAACAAAAGATGAGTGAATTATCTTTGTGATAGTTAACATTGTTGGTACTGTGAAGAAAAATATTGCAACTCTGATATTTCTGACTGGCCGCCTCGAAATGTCCTAATTCAAATGAGTTCTGTGCCTGTAATCCCAGCATCTTGGGAGGCTGAGGCAGGAGGATGGCAAGCTCAAAGCCAGCCTCAGCAAAAGTGAGATTCTGGGGCTGGGATTGTGGTTCAGTGGTAGAGCACTTGCCTAGCATACATGAGGCACTGGGTTCGATCCTCAGCACCACATAAATGTAAAATAAAAGATATTGTGTCCACTTAAACCTAAAAAATAAATATTGGGCTGGGGATGTGGCTCAAGCGGTAGTGCGCTTGCCTGGCATGGGTGCGGCCCGGGTTGGATCCTCAGCACCACATACAAACAAAGATGTTGTGTCTGCCGAAAACTAAAAAATAAATATTAAAAAAAACTCTCTCTCTCTCTCTCTCTCTCTCTCTCTCTCTCTCTCTTGCGCGCTCTCTCTCTCTTTAAAAAAAATTTAAAATAAAAAATAAATATTAAAAAGAAAAAAGTGAAATGCTAAGCACTCAGTGAGACCCTGTCTCTAAATAAAATACAAAATAGGGATGGGTATGTGGTTCAGTGGTTGAGTTCAATCCCTGGTTACACCTCTGCCTTCCCCCCAAAAAAAGTTCTGATTCCATCTATTTATTTAACTTGATTTTCTAATTGAAAATTTTGTAATATCACTATCTTTAATGCACCTCTGTTTTAAGCCTTTCAGTGAGATTTATGCTAAGGTTCTTAGCTTCTCTGTAGTGTGTCCCTAAACCCCTGATGTTTCTTTTTTTTAACCTGTTTTGCAGTCTTTAGACAGTACTTTGAGGAGATGGAGATGCTGATCAGTGGTAGAAAGCTTGTTCAACATGCATAAGGCGCTGGCTTTATATCCTACAAGAAAGCATAGAGTGAACATTCTAACATATAGGCATAGGCAATGACTTTCTTAATAGGACCCCTAAAGCCTAGGAAATAATGCCAAGAATTAATAAATGGAACAGCATCAAAAGCTTCTTCAAAAGCATAAAAAGCTTCTTCACAGCAAAAGAAGCAATTAAGTATGTGAAGAGAGAACCTACAGAATGGGAGAAACTCTTTGCTAGCTACTCTTCTGAGAGAGGATTAATATCTAGAATATATAAAGAACTCAAAAAAACCTAACACCAAAAACAAAACAAAACAAAAAAACAACCAAATAACCCAGTTAATAAATAGGCAAATGAACTAAACAGACACTTCTCAGAACAAATGCAAATGGCCAACAAATATATGAAAAAATGTTCAACATCATTAGCAGTTATGAAAATGCAAATCAAAACTATATTGAGATTTTATGTTAGAATGGCAGTCATCAAGAATACAAATGAGGGGCCTTTGGTTGTAGTCCAGTGGTAGAGTGTTTGCCTAGCATGTGTGAGGCACTGGATTTGATCCTCTGGACCACATAAAAATAAAATTTAAAAAAAATTAAAGGTATTTTTAAAAGTGTTTTTAAAAAATAATACAAATAAGAATAAATGCTGGAGAGGATGTGGGAAAGAACACTTTTACACTATTGATGGGATTGTAAATAAATATGGAAATCAGTATGGAGGCTCTTCAAAAGACTAGGAATGGAACAACATATGACCCATATGACCATTTCTTGGTATTTTATCCTAAAGACTTAAAGCCAGCATATTATAGTGATACATGCATACCCATGTTTATAGCAGAACAATTCACAATAGCCAAAATGTCCATTAGAGAATGAATAAAGAAAACATGGCATATGTATACAATGGAGTTTTATTCAGCCATAAAGAAATAAAATTATGTCATTTGCAGGAAATGGATGGAACTCAAAACCATTATGTTAAGCAAAATAAGCCAAACTCAAAAGGTCAAGAGTTGTATGTTTTCTCTCATTTGTAGAAACTAGAGAAGAAAAGGGAAAAGGTGCAGGGTCAGGTCTCCTGAAAATCGAAGGGAGATCAGTGGAAGAGAGGAAAGGGACCAGAATGAGTGAAGATGAAAGAGAAAGAGGAAATTCTGGGGAACAATATTAGCCAAATCGTTTTGTGAGCATGTGCGAGTACGTAACAACAAATCCTAGCGTTATGTATAACTATGAAGCACCAATAAAAAAATATGGAGGGGGCTGGGGTTGTGGCTCAGTGGTAGAGCTCTCACTTAGCATGTGTGAGGCACTGGGTTCAATCCTCAGCACCACATAAAAATTTAAAAACTTGGGGCTGGGGATGTGGCTCAAGCGGTAACGCGCTCACCTGGCAGGCGTGGGGCGCTGGGTTCGATCCTCAGCACCACATAAAATAAAAATGTTGTGTCCACCGAAAACTAAAAATAATAAATATTAAGAATCTCAATCTCTCTCTCTCTCTCTTTAAAAAAAATTTAAAAACTGAAAAATATATATTTATATATTTTAAAAAATATATGGGAAAAGAGGCAGTGTTTTCTGAGTCACTTAATAAGTATTTTATGGATGTTTCCTTTCCTCATGCATGAATTTGTTTGCTGTGTTGGTTCCTTTATATTTGGCCTATTAAGAGCTTTCTTTCTCCCTTTTTAATAACTGTGATAGCCAAATATGATTTCTCGTGTTGCATAGTCCTTTTTTTCTTTTTCCTGAAAGTTAAATCACTATATGATTTATATACTATATACTACGGATATGTATATAGTTCATATCCGTAGTACAGTGTAACTGCTTTCTCAGAAATTGAGGCACTGGTTTTAATGACTATAGAAGGGATATATAGGAGAATTATAAACATAGTCTCTGCCCTCAAGGAACTTGTAGCCTAGTTAAGAAATCAGAATTAAACATGAAAAGTAAAACATAGGTAATAGTTCTGGTAGTAGGCCATAAAGGAGTATATGATGTGTTAATTGTACAGACAATGATAACTCTGGAATTAAGAGATTTGCTTTTGTCCAGGTTAGTCAAGGAAATTTGAACTTAGTACTGAAAACAAACAAATTTTGGATAAGAGACTAACTCAGATTTCTTGTTGAAGAGTTTCATAGTACTTTGTCCTTTTTTTTCTTAGAATCTTTAAATGAACTCTTCTTATTGTATTTTTTACCTAGTGCACTTATAATAAACTCTTGAAAATGTTTTTTACCTAGTGCACTTATAATAAACTCTTGAAAATAAACTCTATAATAATGCCTTCAATTTTCTGTTTTTGTCATAGGCATCCCGATTTTCAGCTGCTGAAGGAAGGACAAAGGTATGGTTGAATCAGTATCACTTACATTCTCTATAGTGTTCATGTTGATAGAAACATTAGGAGTGAACCAGGTGATATGAGTGCTTGGACTTCCTGTGCTGATACATTTTAAGTGTCCTATTTTAGCTCACACAAAGAAATATTTGACATGTTCAGCTTTTTTATATAGTGATGGTAAGATGATGTGTATGATGTGTTTGATCTCTGATTTATTGTACAGCTGTTCCTACTGAGGAGGTCTAATTGAACCTGTTGAAATATGACACAAACACACCCTCCATCTCAGATACTGGGTTTCTTTGTCAGCTAGATTGTACCAATTACATTTGTTGAAAGAATTTTATGATCTTATAGGATCAAGACATTAATTATCAGTTATTTAGTTATTTGAAAGCACTAATATAACTTCTAGGCTGTGATTTTTTTTTCTCCCCTTAAACCCTCCTCATAGGATTGCTTGACCAACCATGGACATCTCTGAAAACATATCCTATAACTCTCAGCATAAATGTTCCTAGTTAATAACCACAACCTTTAGCTACACAGTGTTGAGCACAAGATACTTATTGATGAATGTCTTTATAACTTCAAATTAGTATAGAAAAAAAATTTAATTGCCTTAAAATTCTACAAAAAAGTATGAAATAATATGAAAGTTGATTTTTAACTTGTTCTGTTTTTTGAAACTTATACTTTTTTCTTATCTAAGAGATGGTCCCCTTGTTATATAGATTAAATTTTAACTAAACATTACATCTGTTTGTTTTAAGAGAGAGAGAGAGAGAGGAGAGAGAGAGAGAGAGAGAGAGAATTTTTTAATATTTATTTTTCAGTTTTTGGTAGACACACATCTTTATTTTATTTTATGTGGTGCTGAGGATCGAACCCAGCGCCCTGCGCATGCCAGGCGAGCACGTTACCGCTTAAGCCACATCCCCAGCCCTAAACATTACATCTAATATTGAAAAAAATTGCCATTTTTCCCCCTATCCATAATCTTGCTTTTTGCTTTTTTTTTCTTTTACATATCTCCAAGGTGTGTTTCAAGTTTTGTTTTTTTTTAATAATTATCGACGGACCTTTATTTTATTTATTTATATGCAATGCTAAGAATTGAACACAGTGCCTCACACATGCTAAGCAAGCACTCTACCACTGAGTTACAACCCCAGGCCCCCAGGTGTGTTTCTTAACCCAAAAACTTCCTCATCTGAATGTGTTAAAAGTTCTAATAGGTATGTGCTTGAGAACAACTGTTTACCTATCCTTGTTTGTCTCAAGTTGAATTAGCAAAACTACTCTTTGCCTTTACATTTCCCATATTTCTTTATCTTATTCAACTCTAATCTGAAAATTGGAAAGCAGTAATAAGGAAAACCATTATCTTTTATTGTGAGCATTCCATTGTAACTCTTGATTTTCAAATTTTATCTTATATTGAAATTGTTGATTTTTCAGATTTATGGTCCGCTATGATTTTCTTTTGTTTATTTATGGAATTTTCTGTATGATAACCACATTGGAAAACATTTACTCATCTTTTTTTTATCAGAGTTAACCGAGTTCCTGTAATTATATTTTTTGAGAACCCAATAATGATATTTTCAGGAGAAAAACTTATTTTTTAAAAGTTACTAAAACAGTCACAAAAACATCAAGTAAAAATCAAAATAATTCAGTAGAATGGATTTACTAAAAATTTTTTTTTTCCATTTTCCTGGACTCCTCTAACAACTCAAAATTAAGAGGAACAGCCAAAAGGAAGAAAGGTAGAAGGAGAGCTGTTATCAAATACTTACTGATACAAAGAAATGTGGCTTTCTCTAAAATAAATATATCAGTGTCTGTAAGGTTATGCCTGAGGAATAAAAGTTGCTACCTTGAAAGTTACAAAGTAAAAGTATCATGGGACTTTCCTGTTATAATTATTTTGTTTATCTTTCCTTTTACAGTGGCCATTCAGGAGAGGAAGTACAGTTATGCAGTAAAGCCATTAAAACATCAGATATTGATAATCCTGGTCATTTTGAAGAGCAATATGAATCTAGTTCTTCTAGCACTTGTAGTGATTATACCGGTGATAATGAGCAAGACTTTGTTTCCTCCATTCTACCAGGAAACAAACCAAATGCAATGGGTACAAGGCCACAGTTACACCAAAAAAGCAAAATGAAAAAGCAAGTTGGTGAAGAAGCTAACTCCAAACACAGAGACAAAGAACAGACAGTAGTAGATGTCACTGAGCAGTTAGGCAGTTGCATATTGGATTGTCAGGAGAAAGCTGCTGATTGTGAACTTCCTTTACAGAAAGTAAATACTCAGATTTCTTCATGTAGTCCTTTGCATGAAAGATTAAAAGCTTCAGGAAATTTTGAAAATAAATACATGTCAGAAATAACTTTTGTTGGCATAAGTAAGAAAAGTGCTGAGCATTTTAAGACCAAATTTGCCAAATCAAACCAAATTTCTAAGTCAGCCTCTAGTTCCATGCAGATGTGTCCTGAAGTTGCAAAGACAAACTTACTTAAAATTCTAAAACAGACTTTGATTGAATGGAAGACAGAAGAAACTTTGAAGTTTTTGTATGGCCAGAATTATGCTTCTGTGTGTCTGAAACCCTCTCCAGCCTCTCTGGTTAATGAAGAACTTGATGAAGATGACATAAACTCTCACCCAGATAGCCATTCCCCTGTTTTGGTGGAATCTCAGAATAGCCTGGATGAATCTTTACCTTTCAGGGGCTCAAATGCAGCCATTAAACCACTGCCAAGTTATGAGAACTTGAAAAAAGAAACTGAAACATTAAATCTAAGGATCAGGGAATTTTATAGAGGACGATATGTTTTGAATGAAGAAACCACCAAATCACAAGACTTGGAAGAGGTATGTCTTAATGATAAGTGTCAAAATAATGAGTTTTTCCAGGCTGCTAACATTTGGAAAAGTCATCATAATGAATCTTAGCAGGAAGAAGAATATTAAAGAGTTCTTGTTAAATTTTCAATAAGTATTATTTTGAGGTGTTTTTTTTAACCCAGGGCCTTACATATGTTAAACAAATGTTTTAACCATTGAACTATATCCCCAGCCCACTAAAAGTTTCTTTAGTGCATCTGTCTTCTGTTTTAAAATGCATTCTCTACTATTGGCATTACAATTTTACAAATAAGTTGGTTTCCTCCTAATAAATTTTCATAAATTGTGTAATATTTCTCTATAATGTAAAATGAGCCTAGAAAGATGAAACAAAGTTTTCTTTTAAACCTGGTTCTTCAAACTGGGGATTTAGTTCAGTGGAAGGGCATGCCTAGCATGCATGAGGCCCAAAGTTCACAATGATAACAACAAAAAAGCCCATTTCTTTTTTTAAGTAGACCCTCTGAAGAAGCTTTTTTCTTTGTTAGTGTGTGGTGTTAGAGATCTCTCCATGTGGTATGTGTGTTTTATTTACATTGAGACTATATGCAGTAGCATAAACTTAGTTGTTGAATAATAAAATATTTGGCAAGCACACCATTTAAAATATTATAGATGAAAATAATATAATAAAGGGACTTCTTGGAAAATAATGGATATGGAAAATGGGAAGAGTACATTCAGAAAGACCTAGATTTGAATATCTGTTATGTCATTTACTAGTTTTATAAAAACTTAGTTTTTTGAGTCTGTTTGCTCATCTGTTAATAGGACTAATAATAACTTCCCTTGCTCAGTTGTTTTAAAGGGAATGTATGTAAAACATTTATCTCAGTGTGTGACATATAGTTGGTACATAGTAAATAGACATAGAGAGATTGAATATATCTGTCGAGTTTTAGGAAGAACCTTTTAGTATTTCTGTTACCCATTTTTGGTTCATAGGTCTTGTTTAAGAAATGAAGTCATTTGGCATAAAGAGGAGTGGGTAATGTTTTTACCACAAACTTTGTTACTAAAGATTTCTGAGCAAATATAGCTCTAAGTTTAAAAATACTTTTGGAGGGGCTGCGGTTGTGGCTCAGCGGTAGAGCGCTCGCCTCACATGTGCGAGACCCTGGGTTCGATCCTCAGCACCACATACAAAAATAAACAAATGAAATAAAGGTGTTGTGTCCAGCTACAACTAAAAAATAAATATTTTTTGAAAATACTTTTGGATATTTGGAAGAGAGCAGAAATGGGAATATAGTAAAAATTTAGAAATTTCTTTCTGTAAATGTTTCTCCTAGTCTAGCACCATACTTGAAAGCGCATCAACTGTATTATTGGACAGCATCAAAAACTTTTATTAAACTGAGAGAAGTATTGGTCTTTCTTAAGTTGTATATCACTTGTTTTATCATTTTTGTGCTTGTAAGCCTTAAAAAGAAAAACCTGATACCTGAAAGGTATAACATTTTTAAACTTTCATTGACCTATAATGCAAACAGTAAATGTACAGCTTATAGAATATTTATTCACATGTGAACACATGCATGAAGTCACTACACAGACCAAATTCATTATAAGTAAACTAGATACCCCATTTATGTCTGCTCCAAATCTTACCTCTTTATAAAATTAGTAGTTGCTATTATAGCATAGATTAGTTTTGCCAGTTTTTGAACACTATGTGTATTCCTTGGTATCCCATTTACTTTATAAAATATTATGATTGTGATTCAACTTATGTTGTTGCACATAGCTGTAGATCATTCTTTCATTGCTGTGTAGTACTCTGTTATATAAATCCAGTGTTCAGTCCCGCCCCCATCCTTCAGTGGTTGCCAGAAACCAAATATTATATTCACTATGTTTTTTCCTAAACATACATACTTATGAGAATGTCTAATTGGGGGAATGTGGCTCGGTGGTAGAGGTCTTGCCTAGCATGTACAAGGCATTGGATTCAATCCCCACCACCACAAAAACAAACAAAAAAGTCTAATTGTCACATGAAGAGATTAACAACAATAACTAACAATAAAATAAAAGAATTGTAATAATATAAAAGTTATAATAAAAAGTTACAAACAACATAAACACTATTTTATATTATAAAAGTTATAAAGTTGTAATAAAAGTCATTTGAATGTAGTCTCTCTCAAAGTATCTTGTACTGTACTCACCTTTCTTGTAATGATGAGAGATGATAACAGTGCCCATGTGATGAGATGAAGTGAGCTAGTGCTAGACACATTTGACCTTCTGACAATATGTCAAAAGAATCATCTGTTTTGGGTAATCATGGATCATCAAGTCATAATTATGTCAAAGTGTGACTGCAGAGGTTGCAGTCCTTTAGAAAGGTGACTTTAATGCTGTGATCCATCCAAGGATCATAATCCCTAATTTTGTCCTTTAATGTTTGTGCAATTTGAAACACTTGAGCAAATTTCACTAATGGCCATATTGCTGATTCTGCTTCCATTTCATCATCGTCCTCTTCCTCTTGTAGATGATTCAACAAGTTCTTCCTCATTTGTTAATACTTCTTCGTAGTCTTCACTGTTTCCACTTTTTCACCAAACACATTGACAAATCCTTCTCCACCAACTTGTCTTTACCACATGAATGCTTTTCCTAACTTCTTCATCAATCCCTGAAAAGCCTTTAAAATCATTTACAATTTCACTCTATCATTTCTTCCAGCAAACGTGTAGTTTCTGGCTTTTACTCATTACAGCTTTGATGAATGTTGTAATATCAGCAATAACAAATGATTCCCAGGACTGTAGTATGTCTAAAGTAAAGTCTGCATCAATTGCTGATCAAATACCAGATGGGGGTTTGTGGCCTTGGGAAACCAAATAATGCCTTAGTGAAGGCCCTGAAACAATGAGGTAAAAACACAACTGTGACATTTCCATTTTCATGGCAAACAAATTCAGAATAATCAGGTGCATTGTCTTTTATTTATAGGATTTTAAAATTCCAACCTGTTCTTTTCCAAACTTTTTTTTTTTTAACTTCTAAGATGAAGTTGCAATGAAACCATCCCATAAACAAGATGTCTGCTACCCATGCTTTCTGATTATGCTGCAAGAACAAGGACGGATAACTTTTGCTTTCTTTTTGAGAGTAGGTAGGTTCTTGGCTGTATACGTTGAACCTGGCTTTATTATATGCCCTGCAGCATTGACACATAGTGCCAGAGTTATCTGTCCTTCCATGTTTTATGCACTGGTGCCACTTGTGCACTTTTATGAATGTAGATTCTGTTGGGCATCTTTTTTCAAAAGAGGCCTGTTTCATAACAATTTAAAACTTGCTTTTAATAGGATCACAAAGGTGATACTATTTCAGCTCTGTTGGAAATGTGGCAGCAGGTTTCTTCATTGACAGATGCACCCTCTCCAGTAATTTTTATATTTGTTAATCCAAATTATTCTTGAATCTGTCTTGCCTTTATTTATAGTAAATGGCTTGGTCTCATTTGTTTTAGGAGATCCCTTGCTGAAATCCTCGAATAGGCTGCATACTCTATAGCACAATAAATTGCTCTCAGTAAAAACACATTTTCTGTTTATTTCTTCTAATCACAAGCCTTTTCCATCTTAACTAAGCAGTTACATGCGCTGTGGCTGTACCTTTTGCAGTTTGTGGTATGACAGCAAAACTAGTGTGAATTCCATTTTTTCTTTGTAATTTTGCAAATAAGATTTGTTCTTATTATAGATCTTAGCAATTTCAGCACAGAGTAATTTTTTTTTAAGTTGAGAATTTTCACCTTTTCACTTAAAAGTACTTTGCAGTTTCTCTTTGTCTTAAACTGAATTGCTAGTGTTACTACTCTTACACTTTAGGATCATTATTAAGTAAAATAAGGGTTACTTGATAACAACACTGCAGTACCACCACAGTTGATCTCATAACCAAGAGGCTACCAAGTGACTACGAGGCTAGGGTAGCATATATAATCTGGATATGCCAGAAAGGGGGATAATTCACATCCTATGCTGAATAGAGCAGAATCATACTACTTAGAACAGTGCACAATTTAAAACTTACCATTTCTTTATTTCTGAAAATTTCCATTTAATATTTTTAGACCATGACTGATCACAGATAACTGACATCATGGATAAGGGGGACTACCACAATTTTTTTTATATCAATGGAAATTTTGGCTGTTTCTAGTTTGGGGCTATTATGAAATGTGCTGTCATGAAATTTCTTATATATGTCTTCTAATGTGCATGCAGTTCTGAAGGATATGTGTCGCTAGGTCATAGAATATGTACATATGCAATTACATTAGATAATGACAGTTTTTCAAACTGATTTACTGCTGTTTGAGGGTTCCTTTACTTTTTTCTTTGCTGCTGTTATTTTTAGCCATTCTCGTACTATCGCTTGATGGTTATAGTACATTTATTTGATTAACGAATCAAATACTTTCATGTTCATTGCTTGACCATTTGGAGAGTCTCTTGTGAAGTACCTGTTGAAGTCTTTTTTCCATTTACCTATTAAAGTGTCTCAGTTTTTAAAAATTGATTCGTAGGACTTCTTTATCAGTTATATGTATTACAAATATTTTTCACTTTGAAACTTGCCCTTTCAATTTCTTGACTCCAGTTTTTTAATTGTTCCCTGTAGTAACATCTTTTTTTAATTTTTTTTTCTTAATTGCTAGGTGAATGCTCTACTGTTGAGCCACAACCCTAGCCCCCTCTGTAGTAACATCTTTATGAAATCTTAGTCCAGATTGTTTATCTTCTAGATGCTTTATTGTTTTTCATTTCATATTTAGATCTGCAATTCATCTGGAAATGAGTTTGTTTCTTTGTTTTTGTACTAAGAAGTATGGATCAGATGTCATTTTTTTCCCATTTGGATATCCAGTTTACTCAGTAGCATGTATTAAAATGAGTCTCCTGGGGGCTGGGGATGTGGCTCAAGCGGTAGCGCGCTTGCCTGGCTTGCGTGCGGCCCGGGTTCGATCCTCAGCACCACATACAAACAAAGATGTTGTGTCCGCCGAAAACTAAAAAATAAATATTAAAATTCTCTCTAAAAAAAAAAAAAAAAAAATGAGTCTCCTGGGCTGAGGTTGTAGTTCAGTGGTAGAGTGTTTGCCTCTCACATATCAGGCACTGGGTTCAATTCTCAGCACCACATAAAAATAAAATAGAGCCATTGTGTCCACCTACAACCAAAAAAAAATGTTTTTAAAGAAATGAGTTCCCACTTCTCTACAGCTATAGTTTGAACCTTGTCAAAAATAAAATGTTTATAAATGTGTGGGTAAATTGGTCTATTTCTCTTCTTGAGCTAATACCATGCTAATTAGGTAGCTGTATAATAAGTTTTGATATCTGTATGATAAATCCCTCCATCTAATTCTTTATTAAGTTTGCTCTGACCATTCTTCTCTTTTTCTTTCCTTATAAATTTTAAAATTAGTTTATCATAGTACCGATTGGGAAGGGGACTGTTAGGACTTTTATCGGGGTTACATCTAATTTGTATGTAAATCAGTTTGGAAAGAATTGACATCTTTACATTATAGACTTCAACTTGTGAATGTAGTATGACTTTCCTTTTTCAAAAATCTGCTTTAATGGGGTTGAGTTTGTGGCTCAGCAGTGGAGCACTCGCCTAGCACATGTGAGGTACTGGGTTTGATCCTCAGCACCACATAAAAATAAATAAGTAAAATAAAGGTATTGTGTCCAACTACAACTAAAGAAATTTTTTTTAATCTGCTTTAACATTGTTCAGTAATCATAGATTTTTGCACAGGGGTCTTAAACAGGTTGCATTTCATTTATTCCTAAGTATCTGGTTCTTATAAGCTATTGTAAATGGTATCATTAAAAAAAATTTTTTCCCAAGGGCTGAGTTGTAGCTCAGAGGTAGAGTGCTTGCCTAGCATGTGTGAGGGCCTGGATTTGAGTCTCAGTGCCACATAAAAATAAATAAAATGAAGGCATTGTGTCCATCTACAAGCAAAAAATATATTTTTTTAAAGTTTTTTTTTTCCTGACTTTTATGTAGAAAATCAATTTTCATGTATTGACCCTATAGCCAGTAACTTTGCTAGACTACTTAAATTATGAGTTCTAATAACTTATCTGTAGTGCTGGAATGTAGTTCAGTAATACAGTGCTTTCATACCATACATGAAGCCCTAGGTTCAATCCCCAGTACTTTTTTCCCTCCTGCATTCTAGCCCTTATTCCCAGTATTTCTTTCTTTTTTTTTTTCTCTTTAGCACATTTTAAAATTTTTAAAAATTTTTTCCCAACTAGTTGTACATGACAATAGAATGCATTTTGACACATTGTACACAAAACCTGGTATTTCTGTATCTTATTCTGCTGGCTTAGACATCCAGAACATTGGGTTTCCTTGTCTCATTCTCTGTCTCAGAAGCAACACTTTAAATTTTTACCACTAAGTATGTTTGTTGTAAACTTTCTTATAGATTCCTCTTTATCTGCTCATAGATGTTTCCTTCTATTTCTAATTCACTAATTATTATCACAAATGGATATTGAATTTTAATAGGTTAATTTCATGTGCCTTTTAAGATGATCATTTGAGAGATTTTTATTATAATTAATTGCATTTATTTTTACTATTAAATCAACCTTACAGTCTTATAATAAAACCAACTTGATTGAGCTCTGATAACTTTTTTTTAATATTTGTTTTAGTTGTAGGTGGACACAATAACCTTTATTTTATTTTTATGTGGTTTGAATTCTATTGTCTGCCATTTTTAGAAGCAAAACTTTCCATAATATATTTTATAATATTTGCTAATTTTAGTCTTTTAACCCCACATTTGTATAGCACTTAGTAGTTTACAGAATCCTTTTGTATACATTTTCTTATTAAATATAGGAGGTATTAATGTCCCTATTATACTGATCAGAAAACTTTCAAAGAAACTAGATGATTCAAGTAAGCAATGACTCAAGCTGAGCTGATACTCAGATTTAAATCTTTTAAATCTCAAGTCTGGTTTATTTCCTTTTATATCACAGGTGTAATCTTTTGTGCTTAGTGTTTATTGTTCTACTTATAAAAGAATGTAAATTCATTATTCTGTTTTGTTTTGTTGAAAAATGTGATCCAGCATGATCCCACCTTTCCACTGATAGATTCAAGTTCCCAGAACCAGATTAGAAAACGCATCGTTCTTGAAAAATTGAGCAAAGTGTAAGTATGTAATTGTCATCCCAGTTTTTAATATTTTAAAATTAACAATATTATGATTTCATAATTTGCAAATGTTACCCTTCAATTTTAAACATTAAAAATTTTTTTCTTTTAATATTTTTTTAGTTGTCAATAGACCTATTTATTTATATATGGTGCTGAGAATTGAACCCAGAGCCTCACACGTGCTAGGCAAGCGCTCTATCACTGAGCCACAACCCCAGTCCCAATTTTAAACATTTCGAAAAATAGTAAGAAAAGTTTACATGAATGTCTGCACTTTAAATTTTTATATTGTTAAGCTACTGTATCCCAAAGATACTAAATTTTGTGTTGAAGACAGACCACCACCATAAAGAGGAAGGTTGAGATTCTAAACTATCTCACTCCCTCTTAATAATCCAGTGAAGTCAGGGGAAAACTATCAAAGCTAGATCATTTAAATACTGATTTGTGGTAAATGTGTCATGTTAGTTTTACATGTGAATAAGAGGTTGTTAAAGTTTTAAAGGTCTGTTAACTCACTCTACCTACATATTCATAGAATCATTTCACACTCAGCAACGTTTTTTATTTAGCTCAACTCTGCACTTTAAGCTTCCTGTAGCAGAAATGATTGTTCTTATAATTAGCCCAATCATAAATGACGCAAAAATTGCTATTTTGGTTTCTCGGTGAAAAGGGGCTTGAAAATCTTTTTTTCCAGAGATGTGAGGGCTGTCTTGAACTTTTCAGCCTGCACGTTTTTTTTTTTTTTTTTTTTAGCAGAAAACATGGAAAAGTGTGTCAATCATTGTTTCAGGACTTGTAAATAAAGAGAAGTCTTAATTTTGTAGTAGTTTGAAAATAAGAAAAATGTCATAGTGTTTTGAGCAATTGAGATATAAAATGTTTACTTGTGATATAATTAATGGAAAGTAAGATAATTTTGCTTTGAAGTATGTACTTCTCAAACCACCCTTGAAATCCTTTTTTATTTGCTTTGTATCTTGACTTGGTAATGTACAAAAAGCAGAATCAAGAGGAACTACTATAATTTTTACATTTTAAATAAATGTTTAGGGGCTGGGAGTGTAGCTCAGTGGTAGAGTGCTTGCCTAGCACATGTGAGGTACTGGGTTCAATTGTCAGCACCACATATAAATAAATAAAATAAAGGTCCATCAACATCTAAAAAATATTTTTTTAAATAAATAAATGTTTAATATTTATGCAGTAGCTGCTATGGGTGGGCCCTTCATATACAATAAATCCATTAATAGTTTTGCCTTTTACATGATCTTCATACTTGTTTATTTGCTTCTATTAAATATTAATATAGAAAGCAGTATAAAAGACTACCTTATTCACAGTACAGAAGAGATTACTTTAGTTACAAAGATTTTGAAAGTTGGGTTAGATTATCCGTACTGTTGTGTATTTAGTAGATAAGAATTTATGTAGAAATAGTTTTCTAGACTTTAGAATATACAGTTTTAAATTTGAGACCATACAGACATGTCATCGAAGCAGTCTATGCATCCTGGGTTTTGGCTAAAACAGAGGATGCCAGAAAGAACTTTGCTAGAAATCCATATTACTGATACTGGCACAAGAATTGAACTGAGAAGGGATGGAATCACTTAAGAGAAAGCACAAAGAGCATTGAAAACAAAACTAATTATGGTGGCATGGGTTTTTGAGGTCATTTACAAGTTTATGAAAGCAGTTTGTCATTTTCTCATTATAAAAGTAACACCTTTTTTGATCTCTGATTTGAACAAACCAATTATAAAAAGACATTTTTAATAACCAGAGGGAAATAAATTTGTATTGGATATTAGATGTTACAAAGCAATTATTTGGTTGAGTATGATAATTTTAAATACAAAGAAGTTATGTTTGTGTTTAGAGAAACAAATACAAATAGAAATCCAATGACATGATGTCACGAATTTGGTTTACTTTAAAATATTACTATAAAAAAAGGAAGGAAAATGAAACCAATATAGGAAAATATTGAAATGTTGAATCTGGAAATAGATAATGAGGTTATTATTACTGTTCTATTCTGGAACATTTTTGAAACTTTCATAATTTTTTTTAAAAAAGTGCTTGTTGGAGAATATTTAGCAATACAGAAATAGTATAAAGGAGGAAATGAAAGTCAAATCACCTGTAATCCCACCACTTGGTGATAACCTTTATTAATATTTTGATGTTTATATATATTATATGTATGGTGTATGTATGTATGTTCATTCCCTTTGGTTCCCTCTGTTGTAGAAACATAGAAAGAATGAAATGTTTGATATGTAATAGGTATTATATATAGAAGCATTACATGTTTTTATAAAAATGGGATAATACTATGAATGCATTTTTAATTTAACATTTGTCATATCTTTCCACATTTTCAAAAACAGAGCATAGTGGTATAAAACACCACTACAGCCAGGTACGGTGGTGCACACCTATTATTCTAACTACTCAGGATGCTGAATCAGTAGGATGTCAAGTCTGAGGTCAGCCTAGGCAGCTTAGACCCTATCTCAAAATAAATAAATAAATATATTTTTAAAAAAAACAATAGATTGACATTATTTTCAGGGTTTTGTTACAATTTATTAAATGTGTATATCATAATTTATTTAATCAATCACCTTGTTTCTGGTTTTTCACTACTAAAATTATTTCTATAGCAAGCATTTTTTTATTTGATTATTTCCTTAGGATAAATTTTTGTCATAATAAAACTATTGACTCAAAGAATATTCACAATTAAAATGTTAAGCTATATTGCCAAATTGCTCTTCAGGTAAGAAAAACTAAGGACAAAATACAGATGGCCAAAATGATTTTGCATTTTAGTGCTTTACACTATAGTGTAGACTACAAAGTAGAGCATAGAGTTACTATGAAATGTTTCCTTTTGACTTCTTACCAGTCATAATCTAGTTTAACTGTTTAAAATCATGACCACTTCCACCTAAGTGCCATTATTGCCTTCGGCAGATCCAGAGTTAGGCATGACCCAATGTATGTTTCTATATAATTAAATTATAAAAGAAATGTAACTTTTTTTTTACATTTCAGATTGCCTGGACTTTTGGGTCCTCTTCAGATTACATTAGGAGATATTTATACTCAACTCAAAAATCTTATCCGAACTTTCAGGTTAGTGTTATTATTTTAATTTTTCCTTCTGAGTTATTTTTACTTTATTGATTACTACAGAATCCATTAGACTAAGACATGTTTTCTTCTCATCTAAACATTACTTCTTGTTGTCTATTTAATGCAACTCCTTACTTGTATAAATCTTGGTATATTCACTTTAGATAAGAATAACGTAAAATTAAGAAGGAAAGTTTTTTTAAATATATTTTATATATATTTATTTTATTTTATTTATTTGTATGTGGTGCTGAGGATCGAACCTAGGGCCTCACATGTGCTAGGCAAGCGCCCCACCACTGAGCCACAAACCCTTCCCAGAAGGAAAGTTTTGTCTGTGACACAAAACCAGTAACATTGTTGATTTTAGAGGAATAGTAAATATGTATCAGATTACCATCCCTGTGCTAGGCACTGTGGGCAAAAGAAGCATTATGCCCCCCCTCAGGGAAGAACTTGCCTATGAGAAGGAAAGATGAGTACAGTGAACAATAAAAGATAGAGGGTAACAGTATTGTATTGAGTAGAACTGACTTGAAGTACTTAGAACTATAAAGAAAGGGAGACTAGAGAATTTATATCAATTGTGAAGTTCTGGTTGATAAAACGTGCACATACGGTCATTTTATTTAATTTTTTCTAGGATGTTTATATTTGAAAGTGAGTGTTTGGGTAATAATAAGTCTGACATGATTTATCTAGTAGTTACTGATTTTGTTACTCATGAATTGTGGAAACGATCCAATTTCAAAATTATTAACACACAAATTCAGGGATGCCAGTAGTGATCCTCTTATTGGCCTATACTTAAGATTGACTGATTAAATGCCAAAAAGAGGGTTTAAGTCAAATAATATGGTCAAAGTGGAACTTTTCTGCATCCTTCTTAGTGATGAAGAAAGTCAGTAGATTTTTTACGTATTCTGTCTTATACCTATCACAGAACCATGCATCCTAATGAAAGGAATAACTGTACTAAAAGTAAAAGTTTGATAAAGTTTGACTAGATATATACAGTGTGAAAACACTGAAGTTTATGATTCCTTCAGGATTTATCAGGGAGTGAATATTACACTAACATGAAGTTTAACTGAGGAAAAATGAAAATCAGAAGTTATTCTTTGTTTTCTTCCTTTTTTAAATATTTATTTTCTGAGTTGGACACAATACCTTTATTTTATTTATTTATTTTTATGTGGTATTGAGGATCAAACCCAGGGCCTTGCACATGCAAGGTGAGCGCTCTACCACTGAACCACAACCCCAGCCCCTGTTTCCTTCCTTTTTTAAAGGACTTGTCATTCAACTTCCTGCAGACAATGTAATAATTACTATGCTGGACAAATTGGTGAAGTGACTGAAGACTCATCAGAAGAGATATTAGAGTCCTCTTATCTTGAATTACACTTTTCTTTTTTGTTTTGCCCTGCTTATTTAGGAAAGAATAAATAGCATACATTTTCTAGTGATTTATTTTTTCTTTAGATCTAATTGGATAGCATCTTTTGAAAAAAAGTATTCCAAAGTTCTCAGAACTTACCAGAAACACATAGGGAAAAAATGTTAAACTACCTTAAACACTTCTATCAGTGAGATTTGCTCATATTTGAGGGCTGATTATATTTGCCTGGGGAGCCTTAAATAATTGATACCCATGTCCTATTTTTTCATTGTCAATGCCAAGCATTCTTGATGCCTTCAGTATTTTCAAATTTTATTGGAGTACAAGTTTTCAAAATAATTTATAATTATCTTCTGTATTTCTGTAGTGTCTGTTGTGATTTTTTTTTTTCTTCATGGACATTAGTAATTTGAGTTTTCTCCCTCCTTTTCTTCATTAGCATGGCTAAGGGTCTGCTAATTTTGTTTTGTTTGTTCAAAGAACCAACTTTTTGTTTTGTCAATTTTTTCAATTGTTTCAATTTCATTGATTTCAGCTCTAATTTTAATTATTTCCTGTCTTCTACTGCTTTTGGTGCAGATTTATTCTTCTGTTTCTAGGGCTTTGAAATGTAATGTTAAATCATTTATTTGTTGACTTTTTCTTCTTTGAAGGAATGAACTCCATGCAGTGAACTTTCCTCTTAGAACTACCTTCATAGTGTCCCAGAGATTTTGATATGTTGTGTCTGTCTTCTCATTCACCTCTAAAAATTTTTTAATCTCCTTCTTGATGTTTTCTGAACCCATTGTTCATTCAGTAGCATATTGTTTAGTCTCCAGGTGTTGGAGTAGCTTTTATTTCTTATTTTATCATTGATTTCTAATTTCATTCCATTATGATCTGATAGAATGCAGGATAGTACCTTTACTTTTTTTTTATATTTGCTGAGTTGCTTTGTGGCATAATATAGTCTATTTTAGAGAAGTATCTATGTGCTGCTGAGAAGAAAGTGTATTCGCTTGTTGAAGGATGAAATATTCTACATATGTCAGTTAAGTCTAAGTTATTGATTCTGTTATTGAATCTTTGTTATGCTTTTGTTTGGAAGATCTATCCAGTGGTGAAAGAGGTGTGTTAAAGTCACCCAAAATTATTGTGTTGTGGTCTGTTTGACTATTGAACTTGAGAAGAGTTTGTTTGATGAGCATAGATGCTTCATTGTTTGGGGCATATGTATTTATAATTGTTAAGTCCTGTTGATATATGATTCCTTTGAGCAGTATGTAGTGTCCTTCTCTATCCCTTTTGATTAACTTTAGCTTGAAGTCTACTTTATTTGTGAGTGGTATGATTTTTCCCAATCTTTTACCTTAAGTCTGTGTTTGTCTTTTCCTATGAGATGAGTCTCTTGGAAGCAGCAAATTATTGGATCTTTTTTTTTTTTTTTTAATCCAGTCTACTAGTCTATGTCTTTTGATTGGTGAGTTTAGGCCATTAACATTCAGAGTTATTATTTGATTTGTATTCCTAGCCATTTTTGTTTATTTTTGGTATTTAACTTAACTTGGTTTCTCCTCTGATTAGTTTTTCCTTTAGTGTAATACCTCCCTCTGCTGATTTTCATCATTGTTTTTCATTTCCTCTTCATGGAATATTTTGCCGAGGAAGTTCTATAGTGTAGCCTTTCTAGTTGTAAATTCTTTTGTTTATCATGGAAGGTTTTTATTTCATCATCAAATCTAAAGCTTAATTTTGCTGGATATAAGATTCTTGATTGGCATCTATTTTCTTTCAGAGCTTGGTATATATTGTTCCATGATCTCCTGGCTTTAAGGGTCTGGGTTGAAAAATCTGCTGAGATACGAATTGGTCTTCCTCTATACGTGATCTGATTGCTCTCTCTTGCAACTTTTAAGATTCTATCCTTTTTCTGTATGCTAGGAATTTTTATTATAATGTGTCTTGGTGTAGATCTGTTGTAATTTCGTACATTTGGTGTCCTGTAAGCCTCCAGTATTTGGTTTTCCAATTCATTCTTCATGCTTGGGAAATTTTCTGATATTATCTCATTGAAGAGATTGTACATTCCTTTGGTTTGAAACTCTGTGCCTTTCTCTATCCCAGTAACTCTTAGATTTGGTCTTTTGATGCTATCCCATAATTTTTGGATATTCTATTCATGGTTTCTTACTATCTTCACTGTGTGGTCACCTTTTTTTTCCAGATTGTATACTTTGTCTAACATTGTATACTTTATCTAACATTCTTTCTTCCAATGATCCAGTCTGTTGGTTATGCTTTCTATTTAGTTTTTTATTTGGTTTATTGTTTCCTTCATTTCACAGATTTCTGACTTTTTTTTTTTTTTCAGAGTCTCTGTCTCTTTCTTGAAGTAATTTTTGCTACCTGTGTTTGCTCTCTAATCTCTTTGTTGGAGTGATCAATTTTTGCCTGTATTTGCTCATTTAGGTCATTCTTCAATTCACAGATCATTTTAATTATGAACCTTCTGAACTCCTTCTCTGACATTTCATCAACTTTGCTGCCCATGGTTTCTGTTATTGTAGTATCCTGGTTTTTTGAGAGCACTTTCCTCCCTTGTTTTTTCATGTTGTCTGTATGTCTTCCTTTCTTGCAGTGTGGATCTGAGATATTATAGTTTCTACCCTATATTTTTGTAGTACGCATGCAGATTGTCTGTACCTCACCTTGATGTTAGGCTTCCACACCTTGCTGGTGTCCCTCAGTGTATGCTACTACTACTAAAGATGGTTGCAGTAATAACCCAGGTAACTCGAGATAATAGTGGAGGTACCCCAAGATGGATACAAAGTCTTACAAAGATGGGGTTGAAAGGGTGGGCCTTACACTGTCTTTGGGTTGCCTGTTCTGAGATGCAGTTGATTCTAGGCCCTGTCTGTTGTCAAAAAGGTAGGGACTACTGCGTGGGGAAGGCTATGGAGATGTCTGCAGTGTCCCAAGATAGAAGTGGGTTAGGTTTGGGCTCCAAGGTGGGAGTGGATGGCAAACTCAACCTACCCTGGGCCTGGGTTCCATGTATGTTGGTGGGCAGATCTGGGCCAGGCCTGGGCTCCCACAGTGGTTTGCTGGTCTAAAGAGGCTGTTCTGTGCCAAAGCCTGAGCTCAGGCAGGTGTCTGCTAGTGGCAGGATGGACCCAGGCCTACTGTGAGCCTGGGTCCCGAGTAGGTTGATGTGGGCAGATCTGGGCTGGGCCTGGACTCCCGCAGTGGTCTCTGGCCTAAAGAGGCAATCCTGTGCTAGAGCTTCCCAAGGATTTTCATTTAGTTGGTTTGTCATATGGCTACCAAAGTAGCAGTACTTTTTTTTCATTTGTTCTTTTTAGTTATATACAAATAGAATGTACTTTGACCTGTCATACATACATGGAGATTCTCTTGGAATCCACTGCTCCAGAGCATAATGCAGAAAAATAGGAACCAAACCTTACAAATCATTCCAGTCCGTTGATTCTCCTACTCTGACCCTTCTGCAGCCAGTCATTTTAGAACTTCACCAAAGGACATGATAATAGTAAGATTTATATTGCAGTGATTCCTTCCAGTTATTTTTCCTTCCTACTTCCAAAGACCTCTT